AACAAGTAACATTTGGGGGAGTTATATCAGCAAGTGGTAAAACAATACCACCGTTATTTATCTTTCCCAGAGTGCATTTTAAGGATCACTTTATGGAGGGTGATCTAGAAGGCAGCCTAGGAATGGCTACTAAGAGTGGATGGATTAATTCTAGTATATTTTTGGAAGTCTTAAAACACATTAAATTAAAAACATGTTGCTCTAAAGAGAACCCTATTCTGCTACTCATCAACAATCATGAAAGCCATGTGACAATAAAAGCAGTAGACTATGCTTGTGGTAATGGCATTGTTTATTTGTCTTTTCCTTCTCACACAACTCACCGTCTCCAGCTTTAGATGTGGGAGTATTTGGGCCTTTTAAGGCCAAGCTAAAGGTAGCATTGATTGGCATGATTGATTAATCCGGGAAAACCCTTAATATATACAATATTCCGAAACTGGAAAAAATTGCCTATTTTGAATTATTTAATTGCAAAAATATTTTAAATGCTTTTGAAAAGACTGGAATATGGCCATTGAATATCACAGTCACACAACAAATCGCACCTGAAGAAACAATTCTTACTCAACAAAATTCGACAAGTGCGCTTCCTGCATTGCCATCTATATCTTCTATGGGATTAATAACTCCAGAATTAGTAGAAAATATAACATTACCATCTACATTATCTGTGGGATTAATAACTCCAGAAATTATCCGACCGTACCCTAAAACGAACAGGAACGGACCTAAAAATAAGAATATATTTAGATACTCCCAAAAAAAAGAGACTGCTAGAATTAGAAATTTCAAAAGAGACGAAGAAACAAGAGCAAGAGAGAAAAAAAAAAGGATAAGGAGTTGAAACGTGTATTAAATTTGCCAACAGACACAAATATAAAAACCAAACCAAAGAAACAGAAAAAAACAACAGAGACTGATAGCGAAGATGAAACTGATATAAGTTTAAGTGAAAGTTCTTATTCACCCTTTGAAGAGATGTCAAGTTCTTCATCTGATATTGAAAACGAATTTCCGGTTAAGCAGAAAGATATTAAAGGAAAAACTTTTGTGTTAGTGAAATTTGATCAGAAAAAGACCGATATACATTATATTGGACAGGTTGAACCAGGTACAACCCCAAGGAATACAAAGTTTCATTTCTGAGAAAGAAGCCGGGTACTTCGAAATTTGTTTTTCCTAAAGACGAAGGGACGGTTTACTTATCAGGCGTGGTATGTGTATTGCCGCCACCCAAATGTATTCATATTTAAAAAAATTTACAAAGCATAATGTGCAATAGTAGATCCGTTATGTAAAACGATATTTATAAAATAATATGTTGTTGATTATTAACGAGTTAAAAGTTTATTCTGTTTCAATTTTAATTGTTATAAATGTTCGTTTTCCTATAAATAGTTATGTACGAATGTACCCTACTCTATGTACGAAGCTACCCCGCGTGTGGAGTGCTTTCGTACGATTTCCATTTTCTAGGAGAATCGTTATAGTTTTGCCATTTTACTTTGTACCAATACCGACTTAAAAAATTATTGAAGCCAGATATCTAGATAATTCACCAGCATTGAAAGTTTTTTAAAAGCGCTATTGGTTTTGCTTTAAAATGACTAAGAGTAAAAAGTGAGGAATTTTTTGATTACCAGGTAAGCGCTCTATCACTACGCCACTACCGCATGTACACTTAAAGTTTAAATAAAGTATACCAATATAAATGCTTTTAATAAAAAAGAAATTTTCGAGCAAAGAAATCAGACTTATAACTTTTACTTAATAGTAATTGAAAGTTTATTCTACTCTAGCATAGTCCTTGGTCCTCTCAGGTCCTACTCTAGCATGGTCCTCTCAGGTCCTATTTCATACCTAAAAAATCTGGTTAATTGACTCAAAAAAATTTAAAGTTTTTTTTTTTGGGTTCCTAAGCTCGGAGTCCAAGAGTTCCTATTTTTTGATCCTTAAGTATTGAAATTAAGAAGTTTATATAAATACTTATGAAAATGAGTTAAAAAGACAACTGCAATCTTTTTTAAAAAAATATAGTTTTTTTAAAAAAGATTGCAAGTTTTAGTTATTCGGTCAGCACATTCCGTTAGGAAAACAACCTCGGAACCATTGGACCATTGTTCCGATGTTGCACCAAAGTTAGTGTGCTTCTTTTATTATATTATAGTTTAGTGTACTGATATATTATTTGAGTAATAACTCCAATTAAAAAAATGAAATTTGATAATAATAAATCGTAGTTATTGTAATGAATTATTTCATTAAAACTATTACTATTAATAAAAGTAATCTCATTTATTTGTTAATAATAATGATCTACTTAATTGTCTTGATTAAAGATGGATCTTTTTGGATCTACATATATTGTTAATTAAATTTATTTTATGCAATAATTTTCTTATCAAAATTTGATTTGATTTTCTATTTTTGATTTGTTAGTTTCTACTCATTCAAGTTCTTAACTTTTGTAGAAAAAACTTATTTTTATAGATTTCTTAAGATCTCTGTTTGATGTGAATACATTAGCAAATTAGCAGTTAAGATACTGCACCGGTGTTTGATGAAAAAATTGATTCAACAAAATCTAATAGCATAACAATTCCCGACTTTAAATAGATACTTTGGGGTGGTGACTCTTTATTTGTTCATACCTTTATTTCACAATACAATATTGTATTAAGCTTGTTAAAAACATTAACTTAACAGAGATTAATAAAATCATGTAACATAATTTCGATCGCTCAATTTTTACCGATAAAGAATTAAAATTTATGGTAATTTTGGTATAGAATTATAAGAAATTCCAAATCTGCAAAAAAAAAAAAGATTTCTTACAGGGCAACTTGTTATAAACAGGAAAACGACTAAAATATGACAATTTAAAGAGGGAAAATTATAAATAAATAAAACATTTTCTTTGTAATTTTTTTGAAAAACTCTATTAATTAGGTCGAATTAAAAAAAAAAAAATGACCAGGTAAAGTTTTTGTGAATGATGTTTTTAAAAGAATTAGGCTTTTTTTTAATTTTTAGGCATTAAATTTGACCGTAGGTGTCTAAGGATTTTACCTGTTTTTAAAATAAAGAGAGTTCAATTTTGCTAAGAACTTAAATAGGGTTACGAATATGCAAAATAAAGAATCCAAAATCCTTTAATGATACACCTTTTGTTTAAAGTAAAATCAAAATACGAATAAAAAAGAGAAAGAATTTTAATTTAAAATAATATTTATTTGATTAAATTTATTTGTATACTGTATAATTTGTATTGTAATTATCGTAAATTAATTGTATTAATTTGTATTGTAATTATCGTAAATTAATTGTATTAATTTTTATTGTAATTATTGTAAATTAATTGTATTAATTTTTATTGTAATTATCGTAAATTAATTGTATTAATTTGTATTGTAATTATCGTAAATTAATTGTATTAATTTGTATTGTAATTATCGTAAATTAATTGTATTAATTTGTATTGTAATTATCGTAAATTAATTGTATTAATTTGTATTGTAATTATTAGTGGTGTTACGTAAGCGTAAACTTGTCTCACCTTTTTGTATTTAATTTTAATACATATAAACATTATTATTATATGAATCGCTAACTGGAAAAAGGGGACATGCCCTGAAAAAATTCACATAACATGTCCTTTTTTTCAAGTTAGCAATTCATATTTGCTGAATATAAAACAGAAATTTTTATTTAGTATGCTGATCTTAAACGTTGTTTAAATAATTCCAGCCGAATATCCATTAAAAAGACTAGAGGTTAAAAAGTTCTTTTAAAACATCCAAATAAAGATGAGAGGGTTTAATAAAAATATTACTAATAATCAATATTACTAATGGAGTATTAATGTATATACACCAGATCATAATTAGCTCTATATATTTAGTCGAGTGTTTATTTTCTTTTTATATATCTCACAACAATAAGTTATTCATGCTTAAAAGTAAATCACTGTTTTTCCTAAGTTTAATATAATTATTTAAATAATATAAATGTAATTTTAGTAATTTTTTGATTTGTGAATATTAACTTGGAGGTAGGTGCGCAGTGAGTGTAAAATATTTGGATGCACTGTGAGCAGAGGCAATTCAACTGGCTCCTTAAAAAAAAATTCTTGTGTAAAATATTTGGATGCACTGAGAGTGTAAAATATTTGATCGCACAGTGAGTGTAAAATATTTGGGTGCATTGTGAGTGTTGAATATTTGGGGTGCACTGTGAGTGCAAAATATTCAAGTGTAATATTTAAATGGTTTTAATAAAAAAACTATACTACGACTCTTTTCTTTCAAATAAGCTTTTAAATAAATATTTGAATTATTTAAATAATCTCCATCGTACTAAACAAAAAATCAGGGGTTCTATATTAAACAAGAAACCATGGTTTTCTTCTAATGCTGCTCCAATCAAAATCATATTTAAATACTTTTACCAGACGGTTAGATTTGATCGCTAATCTAAAATTTCTTCTCTGTAAGTACTATACTGAAGTCTTTTAACATCAGAAAATATTTCTCTGTAACTACTGAATTTGATTTCTTTTCTGTTTAAATTTTGCCTGTGAAATAATTTTTTTTTTAGTAAAAATCTGTTTTAACTGCAGATCTAAAATCTCTTTACTACATAAAACTTGCTCATGATTTTTAACTTAAAAACTTTTTAACAACATTAGAATAAATAAACTTCTTTTCTAATGAAATTAAGATATAAAAATTTTATAAAATGGAAATCAAAATGATTTTTCATAATGAAAACAATATACCGATACTGAGTTCTTTGGCATTTTTATTTTTTTCTAAAAACTCTGAACTTAAGAGTGGTAAAAATGTCGTTTGTATCTTTATTTAAAAAGTTATAAACATAGTATCTGCATATTTATTTAAAAAGTTATAAATACAGCAAAAAGTTTATAAAATAAAAAAACCTATATGCGTTTAATACCACTTTAGTTTTGTTGTATTGATGCTGTTTTTTTTATATAGATACGTTACCGATTGTTTCTTATGCACGCTTCAACTTGGTTTTTGTTGCGTTTATGTTGTTTTTATTTCGCATAATTTACAAGCAGCAGCACATATTCTTGACGTGCGAATCTGGATGGTTATCATTTTTCCATTTCTTTTGGTTCTGTCACTATCTGTCAATATTAAAAAACTAGCTTACCTAACAATGTCTGGAAATGTTATAGCATTAATTGGTCTCGGAGTAATATACCAATATTTGTTTAGCCACATTCAACTGCCATTAAAACTTCCTAATTCTAATGGCGCGATCAATGCTTGTGTAGCATTTGGTCAGATTATCTATGCATTTGAAGGAATAGCTGTGGTAAATTTTTTTATGTAATTCTTAATAGATAATATTCAAATATTTTTTTATTGAAATCTTTATTTACCTAAGTTTATTCAATTTAGGTATTACCCACAGAAAACAAATTAAAAACTCGAGAATCTTTTAGATGGATTTTGCAAATTACTGGATGTCTTGTGATGTTTCTTTATTTTTCATTTGCTGTTCTTGGTTATTTAACCTTTGGAGATAAAACAATGGGAAGCATTTCACTTAATCTACCGCAAACATGGTAATTTTTTTTTTTCTTTCTATTTTCAGTTTCCATTCAAAGAACTTCATTGGTCTTAAATGTTTTCTTTTATTAATAGTATTTGTATTTTTTCGGCTAGTTAAAAAAAATGGTTAAACAGTTTAAACCCTACTACTCTGGAAGCAAGGTTGAATCCACACTACCAAATTAGGGGGGCAGTTTTACGGTTTTTTAGCAACCCATTAATCATATTCTTTTTTAGTTAATTTTTGTTTGAATATCACGGCGGGTTGAGAGACATAAAGCTTTGCTGACGTTTAGCGTTATATTACAAAATATATCTAAACAGAATGACAGAAATATAACAGAATGACAATATAACAGAATGACAATATAACAGAATGACAATATAACAGAATGACAGAAACATCAAAAACAAGATTTTTATTATTATCAATTGGAGAAAGTGATTTTATTGATTCTGTGCAGTACATGTGTTCTCTCTAACAAATGGGCTCGGTCAGTTATTTCAAAAAAAAGGTTTAGGTTTACATTAAGTAAAATATTGTTATAAAGATCTGTTTATTGTTTTAAAACAAAAAGAAAAACAAAAAAACTGCCAAGAATTACTTAAGGAAATTTTTTTAATTTCATTGAACCAATGCAACATTCTTAAACAATAAAATACAAGAGCTTTGAACAATTTAGTCACAATTTCGACATTATTTTCATTGGAGAAACATGGTTTACAAAAACATCCGTTCCTTATATTACCAACTATTCCTTATTTAGAAAAGATTGAGCTAGTCGCGGGGGTGGAGTAGCCACATATATTAATTCAAAAAAAACCAGTAATGAAACAAACAATAGAATAATAAATAACGATTGCGTCGTTGTCTAAATGACGACTGCTTTAACATTGGTACTGTTTCTCAATTGGCTTCTGCTTCTGCTAGGATGAGAAAAAGAAGCTCTTCTAACTTCTGCGAGGAAGTTTATATAGGTTACAATGCAACCTTAGGACTTCTCTAACAACTATAAGAAACAATAAAATTTATGAATCTTTCCATAAAGTTAATTTCTATTGCAAGTGACGTCAATTATGCAGACATCAAATGGGACGTAGAATGCAATCATTTAATTCAAATAGGCTTAAAAAATAGAATCAAGTTTTATCAATACTGTGAATGATTGACATTTTATTCAACGCGTAAATTTCTAGACATGTTATAAAAATACCGAAGTTCCGTTACAATCGATTTAATATTTACTGAAATGCAAGAACGAATATCCGAGAAATCTCCGGAATCAACGCTTGGCAACATTACAAATGGACATGGTAGTATAATATGGGAATATGTGACTCAAAATAATAATTTTCATCGTTTTTCTAACCACCGTCACAATTATGCAGAAGGTGATTATGAGAATTTAACCTTATATATAGGTAGTATGAAAAGTGCAAAATCGGTCATTTTGAGATAAGTATGCAATTTTGTTATACTTCGTTAGAACTTTTATTTGGTTTAACTATGATTAATGTAATTTTAAAAAAAATTGATTTTTTATGAAAAATAATTAATTTTTTATTATTACCCGATTTATGGCAACAAATCAAATTTTCAAATTCTTCTCTTGCAAAATGTCATATTTGCACTTATCATCAATTAACCAATGACCTCAGGTATAATTGATATGCTTCAATGATTCCTATTAAAATACTAGACTAGCAAAAAATGACTCGATATACAAATAATATAAATAATAAACTTCTTGAATGAAATTTACTGAAATTAGTAAATAGGAATCAGTATGGTTTTAATAAATTAGCTGCATGGATAAAATTATTCTAGAAGTGATGTAATACAAGAATCAATACCACTTTACGCTTTGCAAAGAACAATACCGAAATACCGCTATTATTCACAATGTTCTTAAATGACCTTCTTTTTCAACTTTTCCAAGTACCAAAAGTATACCATACTCATACCAGCCGTTCTGGCTTTTTTACTTTTTTTAATTAAAAATTAAAAAAACTTTTTCTCGGGACCTAAGATCTTTGTGTATAAACACAACCTTAAATATCCAGTTAATGACTAAAAATGTTGAGTGCCCAATAGGGTGGAGCTTATTTTTGAACTTTTGAAATATGATCTTTTTACCCTCTCATTTTGTTCCTATATATGAAAAAATAATTCAGGCAAAATATGAGAACAATTAAACAATATTTAGGGGTAGCTCAATGATGATAAAGTTTCGGATACTTGACAGCTGCGGTTTGGCTACACTTGATTTTTACATAATATTATTACTTATACCAGAATAATTCTCATGTTAAATTAAGAACTTAATTTTAACTACAAAGCTAAATTTCACTGTCCTAAATCATCATATACTCCACAATTATGGTCTATACTATCATATTTGATCATTGACCAACCAATGCAATCATGGCAAATGGAAATAACCCAGAGTGTAATTTTTACATAAATCAAAACATAATCCCAGACAGACAGGATTACTAGCTAGACAGACTTGTTTACTGCAATGCTGAGTTGCTGACTAAGCAATACTGTTAAAGCTGTATGTTTATTTTGTTTACTAAATAGAGGCATTGTTTTAGTTATTAAAATATAAATCGCAATTTAAGTTGAAATATTGTTTAAATAAATTTTCTTAATTTTCAAATTTAAAGAAGATTTCTATAATTTTGGTGTTGACTTTCTTCTCTCCAGTACCTGATTCTAATCAATTGGTAAATTAAAAGATTGATATATTAAAATACCTTAACTCTTTGTGTCTTGTGAGTGTAAAATTGTAAATAGTAAATATATTAATAATTAATTAATTCTATATTATAATATGGACGTTAAACTGATAATGCTGATGAATGTGATGATGATAATGAGATAAATAAATGAACATAAATTATATGTAATATACAATATATTTTTAAAAATAATTAAATAAACCATACAATACATGTTAAAATTTCTGAGTCCAAATGATCAAATTTTTCCAATGCATTTTTTATATTTATTTCAGATAAATATTAAATTCTGAATTATTGAAAATGTCATCTCGGGCAAAATTAACCAGATCTCAAACTGAGTTGTATCTACTTGGCGAAACTATTACTGAATTAACAGGCAGCAAGCTGCCATCATTACATATGGTGCTTGGATTTTTCTTGTATCACCATCTCGAATTAAAGGAGACTATAAAACAATCATCGGCTGTTACCATCACGGAAATAACAAAGTTTTGGCATAAAGCTAGAATCCCGATGAGAGATCATCAGAATTGCCAAACGAAGCTTGAACAGACATTTGAAGAATGGCGTCTTCTTAAGAAGAACAAAGCGCGAAAAACAACAACTTAACTTGGGAGAGAGTCGGCTTTTGTTTTAAGACTTGACGATCTCTTTGATGTCGCTCACGCCGATGCCCTGACCAATACATCAGTTTTACAAGAAGACAAGGATTTCTTAGTAGCCCAGCGAGAAAAGGGAAGAAGGGGGTCAATGGCTGGAGTAGATGAAACACTTGCTGCTAAGGAAAAAAGGGCTTCCAAAAGAAGGGAGCAAATGTTTGCCAGGCAACAGCGAATGAAACAAATGAACCAGCTAGCCGTTTCTACAGCTGAACTGAAATCATCTAGTTCTGAATCTGAAAACAGTACAGCAGAGGATATTGAAGAGACTAAAACTAGTGACAATGCAGATGAGGGAGCTGTTGGAGGCACCACTTTTCAGACACCTAAAAGAAAGAGGGGACGAAAAACTGTTGTTACTCCAGAACTCGCTGCAGCTCTAAATCGAACAAAAATGTCAGACCGCAAGGCTGTTTTTGTTTTAGCAGAAACTGCCAAAAGCTTAGGACAGAATATCAATGAATTTGCTCTTTAGAGAGACTCAATTCGCCGACACAGATTGTAACACAGAGTCCAGAGATCTGCAAATATAAAAGCCGAGTTTCGGGATAACGTTCCTCTTGTTGTTCACTGGGACGGCAAACTGATTCCTAATCTACTTGGAAAAGAGAAAGTTGATGGCCTGCCCGTATTGGTTTCAGGAAAAGGAGTCTCTTAGCTACTCACAGTTGCCAAGCTTCCTTGGCAACTGTGAGTTGAAAATTGAAAACTGGGGCTTAGCCGACAGCATCCGTGCAATGTGTTTTGACACGACCAGCTCAAATACTGGTCGGCTTGCTGGTGCCTGTGTCCTCCTAGAACAGAAACTTGAGAAAGAGCTCTTTTCACTGGCTGGTAGGCATCACATTATGGAACTGATAATTGGTGCAGTGTTCCAAGTGTGTATGGGAGAAACATCTTGTCCAGAAGTTCCACTATTCAAACGTTTCCAGCAATACTGGGGTTATATAGACACGGCTAATTATGAGTCAGGGATTGCAACTGATGATGTCGAACGTCTCGTGGCTGACATAAAGCAAGACACTATCAATTATGCCAACAAGCACCTTGAACAGAGTCAGTCGAGGGATGATTATAAAGAATTCTTGGAACTTGTGATTATTTTTCTTGGTGCTACTCCTGCCAGAGGTGTGCGATTCATGTCACCTGGAGCAATGCACCATGCCCGCTGGATGTCCAAAGTCATATACAGTCTCAAGATCTGGATTTTTAAGGCTCAATTTAAGTTGACTCCTGCTGAAGTGAGAGGATTACGTGACGTGTGTGTATTCACAGTACGTGTCTACCTGAAAGCCTGGATATCTGCACCTCAAGCATCAGGTACTCCTTATAATGATCTGCTGCTGCTGAAGTCACTGATTGAATATTCATCAATCCATTCAACGATCTCGAAGTCAACATCACGCAAGTTTTCCAATCACTTGTGGTATTTGTCACAGGAACTTGTTAGCTTGGCTTTCTTCGACAGTCAGGTCAGTTCATCAACCAAGAGACTGATGGTGAGTGCAATGCAAAATAAAGAAGACCAAGATCAGGATCATTCGAAGCGTATCACTGTTGATCTTGATTCATTCGGGAACAAGAACTTAGAAGATTTTGTCACAGCAAAGTCAATGAATCTGCTCCGAATGATGGAAATGCCATATGGATTTCTAACAGTTGATCCGGACTTGTGGGAAGACAGAGATGACTACAAGTTGGCTGCAGAAACAGTCGAGTCTTTAAAATTTGTAAATGACCACGCTGAACGTGGAGTGGCCCTCATTCAAGAATACAGTGGATTTTTAACACGCGATGAAACGCAGCTGCAATTCCTGCTGCAAGTTGTAGAAGACCATCGCAGAATGTACCCTGATAGCAGGAAACAAACTCTGTCTGGGCTGCCGAAACCATGAATTTAAAACAATAATTCCTGAGTTTGCTCTGGACATTGTCAGGCTGATACCCTAAACTGTAAAAACTGAGCTTAGAACTCATATTTAATGTGTTTAAAAATGTTAATTGTGTTGTTTAAAATATATAGATTAGACTCGTTTCTCGTATAACTTTTGTAATATTGGAGGCATTGTAGATTTGGGGGGGGGGGGGGGGTAAGACTTTAAAAAATACAAATTTTTTTTTTTTTTTATTTTATAAGCTCCACCCTAGTGCCCAAGGTTTTAAATGGTAAAGATGTTTTATGAAGTTATAAAAATTGCTAAAAAAAATAGTTTTAAGCGCCGCCCCATAGGCTGCGGCGCCCGAGGCAGTTTTCCTCGGTTGTCCCCAGCTAGGTACGGCGCTATCTATGTATGCACTTATGTATATATTGCAGGTTTACTTTAGGTTGTATCAAGTTTTACAACTTTTGTACTCACTAATGGTTTATTTTACATACCCTTTGCAACTGTTGGTCTCAGTCGAAATTATAAACAGCTACTGCTCGTCACCAAAAGAACCTCTAAGTAAACTTCAAGAGTATTTACTACGAAGTTCATTGGTTGTAACAACATGTAAGTTGTAGATTGTAGTAACTTAAAATTTTTTTAAAAGACATAATTGTTAGCATAAATTTTAAAAATTGTTAGCTACCCCTCTTATAAAAAATTAATATTACGTATTCATGCTAAATAATTGACTCACCCAAAGGACATTATGAAGCTTATTTTCTTTGTTTCTTTTAAAGTTTTCTAATTCAGCTTGCAATGTTTTTTTGATTTCAAATCTGTTAACTAAAGTTCAAATTGAGCTTTATTGCTCTTTGAAACGGTTTAAAATTCTGTTGGTATTTACAGTAAATGGATGTGTCGAAAATGACAAAGCAAATTTTACCTTTCTGATCTCTGTAAAATGGTTGGAAAAAAAAATAATCATTTTTTTGAAAAGAAATAATTTAACCTATAAATCATCAATACTGATATCATAACCATCTATTTAACTAGAAATCATCATGCTATTTTTCTTCCTCCCAATATTTTGTTAAGATAAGCTGTCATAATCGTAACAAAATAAACTCTTTCGTATCCAATTGTCCGGGCATTCGAAAGCTTTTAACGACAAAAAACGTTTTATTATTGATACAGTGATAGAAACATTTAAGAACACCACCCTAGGTTACCAATGAACATTTTTATAAGATAATATATGAGAATATCTTTCATTAACTTCATCAAGAAATAAACAATTTGAAAAGATTTCATGTTTTTGAGATTTTTATTGACTATTTTGATTTCCAAGTCGTTTACATCTTAAACCTTGAAAATAAATGTTTAAAAAAAGTACAATGTTGTTTAAAATGAGCGCCACGGTAGCACGGTAATTATAAAAGCAAACTGATTGTTCATCTGCAGGTTTCCGCGTTCTTAAAATACTGATGACTCGTTGCAATATCTTTTTTGTATATTACAACATATGTAGATTTTTATTATATGCCAGGGGTCAGCAACCAGCGGCTCTCGAGCCGCGGTTTGCCGACCCCTGGTATATAAAAAATGGCATATAATAAAAATATATATGCCATTTTTTATGCTACTGGCATATAATAAAAAACTTTTGGCTCTTATCCAAATTATGCTCTTCAGCATTTCCGAATTATATACAATTAATTTTATAGAAACAAAGAAAAAAGTTAATTTATTATAGTAATTATACTTTTTCAAAACATTTTCTTAAAGCAATAAAAATGAAGTTACAGACCTATATGAAATAATGTAATTATTTACTTATTATTGCTCAAACACTTCGCAAAAGTGAGTGAATAAAAATTGCCTGCAAAAATGTCAACATTGTACCCAAAAGTGAGTGAATAAAAGTTGCCTGCAAAAATGTCAACATTGTACCCAAAAACTTTAAACTTTTGAATGTAATGCTCAAACACAAAATACAATCATTGTGAAAATTGTATTAGATTAGAAATAGAAATTCTGTTTACTACGTTAAACCTTGCCGTGGCTATCATTTTAAACAACCTGCCGTGGTAGGGTGGTGCTTAAAACAACTTTTTTTGAAAATGTCAGCTGACATTTCCTAAATGTGTTTTATATTACCCTTATACATCAAACAGGTCCCAAATATTATCAAAAAAAAAAAAAATTCAAAAGTAAGTCATATTGGGCCTCAAATGGAGTGAAAGTTAGTGAATTGTCAGTTTAAGTAACATAAACAAATTTTTTACTTGGATACACATAAATGTGTTGGTACATTATTTATTATATTGGAAATATAGCTCACATGCGTATAAATAAATTTGATAATTCTAGGCAGAATTTTCCTATCTGCTCTCCTTTTTTCTATTTATAAATAATATTTAAGTTTTTTATAATTTTATAAGATTTGTTTGAATTATATAAGAACATAAAATTATTTGTGTTTAAGATGAGGTTTTTAATGTTTTAAGAAAATTAAGATTATTATATTTTTTAAACTTAATATTTTTGAATACTTTTTTGTTGTACATGATAAAAACCACGATATGAAATAGAAAAGCAAGAGAGATTTATGAGTACTCACCCTTACAACGTTAGCGTATATGTAATAGCTTTGTATAAAAGAGAAACAAAGAAGCTTTATTTTTTTTTTTGGCAAAGCAAAGGACAACCCAGCAAACATTGTTTAAGTGGATTCGTATTGGACCTATGAAGGCATTTTTGAACGGTTCATTGGAGTTTTGCTTATCGGTTACTTAGTAGATCATTAGTTGCAACCACTATGAATGGCAGCTAATTATAGCGGCTAGCCACTTTTGGCGTCTGCCACTAATAGTCCACTTAGAAAAGAATGAAAATTACAGTAGACCGCTCAAAATCCCTATATAGGTCCACTGACATTCCGCTATAGAATGAAGTTTTACCTGATCTAAAATTGTTTGGTTGAGTGTTGCTTTTGGAAACCGAGTTGTTGTTTGAATAAAATTTTGTTATTTTTTAGATATTTATATAGTTTATTATAAATTACTTACTCTAATAGTTATTTAGTTTTAATGAGTCACTCTTTAATATTGGTACAACTTTTGCTATTTTTAATTTTTAATTGAAGATTTAAATATTTCAAAGACAGGTTTTTTTATCATCAATTATATCAAGGAGTTATAATAGAATTGAGAGTGTCCTGAATTTAAAACTCTGTTGCGTTTAACTGACTAAGGCATATCAATTTTTAACGCTTATTATATTTTAATATAAACGAACGATATTTATACACAACTGGCAATTAAACTTGTCATTTCGAAAAGACCACAAGTCCATTTATTTAATTTTTTTAAAACCAACAAAAACATGATTTTTAATAAAATAATGCCTCGCGGCTAACTTTCGGCGACTTTCGGCACTTTTTACACTTGAATTGATTTGCAGCTAATATTTTCGTTGGACTTGTTGCTTGGTTTATTTGCTGTTCTCCATTAGAGCTAAGCTTAGGTTTTTTTTCGCTTGCTTTGCTGCTTTTTTGCTCTCAGCATCTTTCAACTTTTCAAGTATTTCAGGTTTGTTGAGACACTCCCTTTCGAATCTTGGCACATCTACATTTTTTCTTTTTTTGTGTGTCAACGTGTTCGATACGAAACATTTGTTGCATAGCTGATCCAAGTGATTGGGCTAATTGCAGTTGTTTTGTAAACTTTTTTTGAATTTCCTTTTGAATAGCCGTAGTTACTACAACATTGAAGGTTGTTTGCAGACAAGGTGATTTTTGAGATGACTTCAAAGGTGATGCTATGAGACATATGCTGATGCTAGATATTGTTGGTGTAGATTCAGAAGGCAGTGGCTGAGGTAGTGTAGTCCCTGGTGCTAGATTTGGTGATGGCACTATCATAGATTCTAGTTGTTGAGATGATAAATGCTCAGGTTTAGATCTCGGTGTTTCAAATGTATTACAAATTTGCAACTTTGACTGATTGATTTTATTGATGTTGAATGGAAACAAGCCAGTATTCTGAAACCCAGTGACTGTCTGGGTACGTGTAAAAACTTCACCAGAGCTGAAAAGTTTTTTTTGTAGGTGACTGAAACATTCTTTTGATAAGTTGCTAAACTTTGTCTCTATATAAAACTGTTGAAGTGGCTGTAGAATGTGAGACGAGTAAGCTGGTAGGCAAATTAACAAGAGAGTAACTAACGAATTTCATTTATTTATTGGAACCATTTTATAAAAGCAGTAAGTAAAAGTCATTTAAATTCAGTTATAAAAGTTTGCTCATCGAAATTTATACAAAAAATTTATAGTTGGAGATTTATTAGTCATTTGAGACCTAATTAAAAAAAGCCGCTTTTAAGAAATAAGCTATTGCTTCGTATTTATTTATTTATTAGCGTATTTCATTTAACCCAGCAACACTCAGTTTCTTTTTTAACGCATAACGTTTTTTCCTAAATAGCAAATTTAATTTTGAAAAAAGATTCTTGATCAGCGTAAAAAGTTGTATCAGTAAACATTTTAAGCTCAATGAGAACGAATTTAATTTCCGAAAGTTTTAAGTTATCTTTTCAAACAAATAAAAAAAATCTTATTAAGCATTCGTATTTTTGCCGGATTCACAAAAAGGTATTTTACATCTCTATAATAATACAATTTTTTTTATAGTTTTATTTTGTTTTGTTTTTTAATTTGAATTTTCATGCTATATTTTTCTTTACAATGTTCTTATATCCAAATATATTGTTGGCTTAGCATAAGAACAGCCACAAATAGTCATTAAGACTAATCCAAAGTAGCGTTTGTTTTTGACCAACATTTTTGCGTACCGAAGTACTACTAAAAAAAATAAAATAACTATATTTGCTATGTAATACATATTATACCTAACGAGTTCTCGTCTACCCTGATTTCTTTCATTTTGGTTACAATTTATCCCAGCTCGCCTAGGCTCATCTTTTTTATTTTGACGACAATTTATCTCAGCTCGCCTAACCTGGTTTCTTTTATTTTGAGTAAGTCTAATAATTTCTCTTCTTAAATTATAGGAGTGTGTAAAGATGATGCCTAAAATAATAAATGTTGAACTTTTCTTTTTAGATTAAACTTTGAGTTTTCTTTCTTAAACTCATCTAAAATACAGTGTAAGCAAATAAAAAACCATAAAATAATAATCTAACTTCTACTCTACTATTAGTCATATTTAAATTAGATGTTTTAAAATAATTGAGCAATATGATAACATATTTCTATCAAGAAAAGATAACATATTTTTATCAAGAACTTAAACTAAAGTTTTAAATAAATTGATATAATCTTTTTAACTGAGTATTGTTATATATTTAAGATAGTTCTTATTAACTAATGACAAAATATTATAAGTATTTAATTAAAAAACATCTACAATAAAAAGTAATTAAAAAATTTTTTATAGATAAAATCTCATAAATAAAGTAAATTAATAAAATTATAAGACCTATCTGCTCGGCAAATACTGCTAGCATTGGATGGTGAAATGTAATCCTCCTTTATAAAATCCCTTTTATTACTTTGAAATGCATTTTATGCAAGCTTTTCAATAAATAAGTAAATACAAAACTAA